TGATATACTTATGTTATGAATCTATTACTAATTGCAAATGTTGTTTTATTGAAAAATATTTTTCTATTCAAAAATAATTCGCAAGAATTTTTATTATGTGTCTTCTTACTTTTGACGTCATATTCTGAGAGGAGTGATGAGTAAACAAGAACCATAAGTAAATAAAGATCACTGAGGAGGGCAATATATGTATGTATATTTTATTTATTTATTTATGTATATGTAATATTTTATAAAATTAGAAAATATATTATAAGTTCATAACGGTGTGTGATAATTATATTTTAATAATAAATCAAATATTAAATAAAATAATGGCTGCATTTCAGACAAGTTCAAAAAAGAAGTTTATTTTGAAAGATGTAATTAATCACGTATATCTCGTTGTTGAAATTAAGTATGGCCAATATAAATCCTCAAATTAAAAAGTTCTTTTAACTTTTCTCATCGAAACAATCAGGTTTGTCTTAATCCGCGTGCAAGATTTCCAGTTTTCTTAGAACTCATAAAAATTGAATATTTAAACTTTTTAACAGAAATGTTTACCTCTTTATTTCACTTTATCTCGACATATATTTATATTAGCTAAACATTTCAGCAAAACAAGCTGACGTTATCTATCACCAAAATGAGGACAAATAATGTCAACTTGTTTACTAGAATATATATAGATAGTTAAACATAGTAGATATCTGAGAGATCAATTATTTCACTTAAGAGTTGGTTATTTATTCGGTTTGAAAAAATTTTTAAAATGTGGCAAAACGCAGTAAAGTTATGTCTTTCGCACGATTCGATATTCGCCGGTCCGATATGTAAAAAAAAGGGAGTGATTCATGGGAATTGTCGCGGGAACGTCGGGGAAATTGACGTCCATAAATTGTGACCGCAGCTGCAATTACACCAGGCAAAGGCGCGTCGTGATTCCGAGCGTCGCGGAAGGCGAACACTATGAGACGGAATCGCGTGTACGCGTTCGGGTAATTATAGTTCGTTGGAAGGGAAAATTATGATTATTATGAAAGAGCGAGAGAGCGCGGGGTCGTTCACGCCACAGTCGCAACGCTTATCCGGATAATTCTAACTCGATGTCACATCCTGTTGTATCCGGTTGTAAGCGTACTCCCGATTCTCTAATTAGCTCGCTATATCTGTAGCGGCGGATATGTGTCAAAATGTAGACTTATCGCCATCTCGCGTGTCCACGGTACGTCCGTTTTGCATCGACAACTTCCGGATAGTAATTCTGCCTGATTTAAGCCTCTAATAGCCTCTTTAATATATATATATATATATATATATATAAAAGTATAATATTATATTATTTTTAATCGTAGTACTAAATCTTCTTCATAAATATTTTAAGTGTAAAATTATATCTCATAATAATCAGTAAAATTTTAATTTTTTTTTCCTCTCGATATATTAATTTCTCTTAATAAACAAAATATTTTCTTATAAATGAATTTATTTTTAATTTTATGTGTCATAAGTCGTAATACATATTTTGAAATGATATTTCCTAGATATTTTTCAGAGAATATCAAATAAATCTTTAATCGTTTTTTTTTTACTACTGGTAGAAAAGTTCCCAATTAGTTAACCATCTTGAAACAAATATGTGTTCGAGTGATATAAAAAAAATTAATTAATTAAGACTCGATTAATTAAAAATTTTGAATTACAAAGCTTGAAATTAAATTTGAATTTAAATCTAAAAGGATTTATTTGAAATATTTTTAAGTTTTGGATGTATACTATAAATTGTTTATACGACGTCCCGTCTAATTTTAAAGCCATACATTACTTTGTGCGCATGAAATATTATATCTTGTATTTGATAAGAGATAATTCAATTTATATTTATTTAACAAACTTTCAAACGTTAATCACATCACATTTGAGTATATATCGGCGTGTATATCGGCGGCCGATCCGTAGAAGTAAATGCAGCGCGTATGTGAGCCATAAAGATCGTCCGAACGTAACTGCGGAAAATATAAATTTACCGTAAGGGTAACGCGCGCGTGGCGTTCCGCGCCGGCGATCTGGTGACTGCTTCCTGGCCAGTGCAACGGATACGCGTAGGTGCAACGTACATCTATCTCATGTCAAACTTCAAAAATTTTGTCGCGTGTTAACGTAGACGAGATTTTGATTCGGCGCCAGGATACATTTCTAAACCAATTAAACAGCTAAATTTCCGAACACCGCCCTGATAATTTTTTTTTAATTCGTTATTCTTTAAAGAGGAGTTTTGTAAGATATCTATTTTTCATTCCTACATTAGAGTGTATTATTACTTTCTCTTTCACTTTCACCGAATATCATAAAGTTATACTTTTAGAATTTATTATTAAAATAAATATCTATTTCATTTTAACAATAAATTTTAAAAGTGCATACTAGTTCAGCTGTAAAAGGAAAAAGACTATGTATATTCTGCGATATATGATAATAGTAATCAATCAGATGCATGCAAGCAGATTTTTGCGAATTTAGATTATAAGTTCGAAAGATCTTTTCTTAAATGTCCAGAAAAAGCTTATGATTACGTACTCCTAAATTCTTTGTGAAAAGTACAAGTTTTATGAATCTGAACAAGTAAACAAAGAGGAAACCAGTACTCTTCGTTCACATAAGTTTTAAACATAGAAGCATCTGGGCTATTTAAAACTTCCTTTTCTTTCAAAATATTTTTTTGTAAGATTATTATTAAACCTTCTTTCTCAGCGTTTTCTAAAAAAGTTAAATAAAAATCTCGGATGTTACTTTTATTTTTAACGAACAGAGAAACATTTATTTTCCGTCCGCTTTGAAATTTTTTATATCATGTGGAATTATAAATTTTCTTCACATCTTAGTTAAATATTAAATTATACAATTTGGATACAGAATCGTAAAAGTCTTAGTATTTTTTCATTAATTTCAATTTATCTGAGATAAAAGGGAGTATCCAAATATCATTGCGGATATTTAAGTGTTCCAATTCACACCAATGCCAATGGTATCGCGTGTTCTACGAACGACAAGTACTGGAAACAATTTCACGATGGAACACTCGCTTTTAGCGATAAATAAAGGCGTCCAGCCGTTTCCTCTCTCGATGCTCTCCAGCAGTGGGAATTCGTAAATATTTCAGCCGTATGCTAAAATAAAGCTAGGTTGAAAATGCGTCAGCACGTAGCGAGGCTCGCCCACGAGAATCATGGAATTTTATACATAGATTGATTTATACACGGACTCTCCCGATTAGAATCACTCTTCTCAAGTGTCATTCTAAAACTGCCAGGTTACTTAACTGTCTCTCTTTTCGAGATCTCTTCTTTAGATCATTTCTATAGATCATTTCTATGGGAATTTATCTTCTCAAAAGAAAAGAATAAAAAATTAAAACTACTGTGACTATTGTTTTTTCTGTCAGCAATATTAGAATAAAAAAAGAAACAATTTAATTTTATGATAAAATTTGTGTGTTAAATCGATAGTCGAATTAATTAATTCTCTTTTCCGCGATTCTGATTAAGGTTTCTCTCGCTTTCTCCACTTTGTACTGCGAAAGTAACTGCACAAGGTGTTTTGACAGCTCGCAAAGATTACAATAACATGATTGATTTGTATATTTGTATACAATAATTAAATATATAATATTAAAAATTAACACGTTAATTTTCTTATTATGCAAAATATCAGGTAATTACAAAAGTTGACGCAATCTTTCATGCTAAAAATAAAATATAGAATAGAGAATTTGTATATATAAAATTGCGTAGAATCATTAAATCAGATCATCTGAAGTTAATAATATATGTACAATGGCGCAGGTGAAAATCTACACACTGCCAATTGTTGTAACAATTTATAGAAAAAAAAAAAAAAACAATTCATAGAATTCGTGTAAATCGAGAATGATACGAATATTCTTATTCGTTATTTGATATTTAAAATAAAAATCTCGCATGACAATTAGACTTAATCGCGCCGTTGTACATATATTATTAATTTCAGATGATCTGATTTGTGAAATTTTCCATACTCTTTCGCTAAATATCAAAACACAAACGCATGCCTTGATTGTATCTCACGTCGTAAATCTTATTCATATCCACTTACTTGTTCAATCGTTGATTCGATCGAAACTTATACTCTATCCACCTTTACCATTGTCTTTTATTTCAACGAAGAGGTGAAAAATGACTTTTGTGAAAAGATCCAAAGAGATCAAAGATTCTCGCAGGTGTCTCTCAAGCAAGTATTGGCGAAAGAAGGCTTCTGATTGAATCACATTATCGATTGCGAACACTGTTATTCAAAACAATCGATACTTGGATCCTTTCGACTGGACCAACCAGTCAGAAGCTGCCGTGTCGAATTGGCCAATTAGCAACGTGGACAATCGGATGGCGCTCGTGACGACAGTCGCGACAGTTTCGCGACAAACCTCGAACATGGCGCCCTCTGGAGAGCTTTCTTTCGCGGATAGCTGCCGCTGATCTTTGGTCCCGCGCAGTAGCGGTGTTTATTTACCTTAGCTATCGCGACGTCAAACTGATTGATCCGCGGATCTGTCTATGCATGGTCGAGTGCCACACGGGGAACGCGACGTAACCCGTTGTTTTATCACAACGACGACAAGGTGATTTGCACCGCTAATTGAAAGGCGAAAGAAGACTAAGAAGGTACAGGAGGCCGAGGCGAGGTAGTAGTACGGAGACGGAATCAGCCGCTGAGCGATCTGTCATCCACGTACGCGCGCCATCGCCGTCGCGCGATTGCACTTTGTGTCGTCATCGTCGTCGGCTGCACGGCTCTAACCTAGCCGAGGCTCGCTGCGTTCGTTCCTGGATCCTCGCGCGCACGACGCACCTGTTCATCGGCCTGATGCTGCGCCATCGCTGACGGCAATCCTCGACGAGTATGGGCGACGAAGACGACGTGCTGCCGGCTTGTCTGCAGAGGCTCGAGATTGACCGTCGATCGACGAGTTGTCCCCAGTAAGCGTCGCTCTGTTGTTTTCGACCATTCTCGACTGCGTAGAAACGCGTAAACATCGTATACGTCAGCACAACGCCTAGAAGGGACGCGCTCTTCCAAAGTCGTGAACGTTTCTTGTGCTTTCGTGTCCTGCGAAGCGATGCATTGGCAGGCGTTTAACTTTTAAACGCCTTTGTTGAGCTTTGAGACAACGACGTAGGTTGCAGATTGATTTAAAGCGTCCCTTTTCGACGTTGTAAATTGATGATTTTCAGATACCTGTGACTGATAAGCGTCTGTGATTTTTGACAGCGATCTTGTAGTTACTGCAGTCTCACCATGACTTGTGACAATTGTATCATACCCGAAAATTTATTGATTAAATTCCTTTGTGTGTAGAGTGACAGCAACATCACTATGTATTTTAGATAAATATTTACTTAGATTAATTATTCAGAAAATTGACTATAAATGTATTTGATTTTTAATTTTGAATTGTACACTTTTTGTAATTAATTCTAAAATACTGTCAATACGTAAATTTTATGTACAAATGAGCAAGGTCATGGAGCACTAATTGTAAGCTATGCCTTCAGTGATCTTTAGATTTGTTTGCGTTGCTTGAAATCTTCAAAATTGTTGCATTTAAAATGATATAAGCATTATTTATGAACATTGAAAAGAAACCAAGCAAAAGGTGCTGAGTGCAAGAAGTATAAACAACACATACATCTTAGAAGTTGCAATTTTCCATACCAAAAGCTAAGACAAGCAGAGATGAGCTTTTTTAAAATTCTGTCCATTAGTTTGGACTTCAATATTGCAACATAAAGCATGATAAGTGATTTCATTTTTGTGCTATATATTTTGTTTTGTGTTATATATTTTATTAAGTGTATGAGAAAACAACCATAAAATTGAACTACCCATTTCAAGATTGAATTTGATAGTGTTATTTTTTTCTTTTCTTTTAAGTTAATTAAATTATTTGTATTTATATAAAAGTGTAGATTACAAATATTTTGTCTTTAACATTGTGAAATGAAATATATGAAAAGTTTACTTACATTAGTTAAGAGTGACCTATTTTTTATATGTAAAATTTATATATCGGTAGCAATATTCAATCATTCAATAGCAATAGCATTCTAGAGTTGTATGTAAAATAAGTAAATTGAAATTTGGCAAAAGCAAGAAAAGTTGTAGTACAGTCTAGTGTAATAATATGTTCGTTTTGTGTGTATTCTTACACTCTCTAGACTGGTACACACGATGCAATAAGTTGAAGTAAAACAAACGTATATTTGTTTCATTTCAACTTATTACATTGTGTGTATTAGTTCAGAGAATGCAAAAAACAGACCTATTAAGTAACACATATTTTAGATAAGATAGGAGTAAGTCACAAGCTAACTATTGTTCGTGAATACTCATGCAAAAATCAATGAGTTTAATTTTATGGGTTTAAAAATATTAATAAGACGAAGTTAATGTTCCGATTTAAGAAATTATCCGAGTTTTATTCAACGCTGCATTTACAGTATTAAACAGCACGATGTAGACTAAAACTTATCGATAAATATAGTACTTACTAAGATTTAGTTAACGTTGTTTACTTCTGAAGTATTAAATGTTTTGATTGCTAGAGAGGATATAGATTGTGCGATAGTGATGAGTTAATATCGGTGACAACAAAGATGTGATTTATCATTCGTCACTATCCCTAGCAGTCGAGTTTCTTTGTCAATCGTCGTATCTCCTGTTAGCCAATCGAGTTATCGAAATGCTCCGAGGCTATGTATTTGTCGTAATCGCGGTCAAGGTCGGCTAGTAACACGGCGGTATGTATTTACAATGCATGCATTTCGTCGTCCGTCAGAAATCGTCGATTGCGCGATCGGATTCTCGATTCTTCGACGGATGAAGTCGAGTGAAGTCGGCTCGATTCTATCGGGAGAAACATTTAGACGCTCTATTTTTAAACCTGTGATGCTGGAAATAACAACTTAGTATAGCATCGAATAGTAGATTTAGGAGAGACAAATCGCCGGAGGATACAGTTGGCAAATGAATTCTTTGCAAGGCTTGTGAATGTAATGTTATACTAACTATGTGGTTAGCATCATTGGATAGAACTTGTATGTTTTCACCAAGTTTTGCTTGTAATATTGTAAAGCTTTCATTTTCTAATTTTTATTATAATGTACTTTAAAATATTCTGTACATTATATACGTCGCAAATATATTCAAAAGAAAGAATTGTTTAAAGAGCAAAAATCACGGACGTGACATTTTAGCGCATTTTATATTTTCACACATAACACAATTACTTTTTAATAAAATAACGGTTTGTTCTTTCAGCATTGCAATGGCGGACAAATCGAAGCCGATGAATCTATTCAGCGTATACGGCAAAAATTCCAGCAGCAACTGTTTATTTCGAAGAAGATCAATGCCTAACAGGCCTACTATGTTCCCAGTCAACCCAAGGGGTATCAAGAGTACAACGAATTTTAAGCCGTCTAAGAATGAGAGAACAATCGGGAAGACCAAGAGGAGCACCATCCTAAGGGACGCCATTTTAAAGTTAAGCGCTCCCGGAACTAGCGGTCCTAGTGTTAATCCAGTGGATACGCTGTTTAAGAACACGTGTAAGCTCAGTATTCCCAGTAAAAATTCCAAGACGATCGACCACAATTCGGTCATGAAGGACTTCAAGGCGCTGAATATCAGTAAAGACAATAGGCAGGTCAAGGACGACACTAGTATTCAGGATGACGACTGCGAGAGTGCAAGCGGTTTCCATCGAGCTCGCAGTAATACGATGCCGAACTTAAAAAGAGGCCCCGGTCCGGGTGGCGGAGACCAGCGAACGACAATGGGCAATGGACAATCGGATGCTACTGGTAACTCATCTGGCCAACAACAATTATCAAGTTCACCGAACACTTGTTCAGTCCAGGCGCGAATATCGCCGCCCTTATCGAGCGACGTCACGATCGGCGAACTCGCTGGTTACTTCGAAGAGTTCGTTCATATTCCAAAGAAGATGTCGCACATGGCGGAGATGATGTACACTTAATAATTGTAAAGTATCTTGAATTATGCTTACACCGGATGCAGACTTTTTTTTGTACACAGTTATCGAGGCTGTGTAGATTTTATTCTCTATATACTGCATCTCTTTGTTTACGTGTCTAATTTAATTTCCTAAATTATTTTTTTAACATACTAATAACACATCGGCAGAGACATTATTCTCACTCTAATTGTGTATAGTTCCGAAATTGTTGAGCTATTTTGTATAAATATTCGGAAAAGTGTAGCGAGATATATCATACTTTCTTTTGCATTCTTTCCTTTTTTTACATCATCTTTGCACATGATATTTGATTTCTTTAATGTATAAAAGGGAAAAAGGAATATATTATATTATCTGTATTTAAAAGAAACTTTTGTATTACGAGAGAAGAATAATTGGTTTTAGAATAAATTGTATGAATTGAATTCGTAGTATAAATGCATCTATACAATCTATTTTTATACGTACATTTACGCATTTTCATGTGCGCTTTATTATTTAAAGAACAAATTAAAATCTCCGTCCTAATCAAACAAAGAAAATTCCTATATAGGGCGCTAATGAAGGTGCAACATTAATATGATACATAATATATTTATCTGCATAGGCTTACGACAATTAATATAATAATAACACAAAGTAATCGTTAAGTTACTTAATGATAATAAGCTTTGGTATATAAACAATGACAACAGTGTATTGATCGTTTTCGCTTTAGGTACAATACGAATGAGAACGCACGTTGACGCGCGGTGATATACGATGTGAAGAAAAATTCGAACGTAAGAATGCCGGGCGTACAAGAAAATATTTTTGGTGTGCGCATCACGTGAGACGACTCTGTTCTGTAAATAAATATATCGATACGATAATCGTGAATAATTATCCTCCTTTGATGACACGGTACTTTCGTGGTCGCCGTTGAGACGACACAGTCGATCTTTTATATCAAAACGCATGAAAGAGAGAGAGATAGAGAAAGAGGGAATCTGTCCCTATATCACAGATTTACCGAAAATTTGACTGGGGGACCACGAATGAGCACATTGTCTCCAAAAAGGCATCGCGAAATCCACGATTAATTAAGAGTATAATTTTCATTTAAGTACAATATGCATATACCGCTGATCTCGTCCTTTCTTAGGTCTCCGTATAATTTAAACATCGCAAACATTTGCAAATAAAGGACGCGGGAACGATACGTCCGAGGTATTTCTCGAGTAAATTCCCGACACGCACAATCACGTTATCAATCGCGCGAAAATTAATTACTGATGATCACACCAAAGATTTAAAAGAAATGTTTATTTGCAAATTAATGGAAATTTACGACATCTGATATTTAGAGAGTACGTCTTCCTCACCTGTATAAACAATTTTAATTCTCGTGTTACTTTGCTCGATCAGTCAAAATATTATTATGTACAGTTGTGTGCGATCGATGAAGCATACGTTATAGAGCTATCGGATTTAGAAAAAAAAATTTATTTCGAGATTTTGCAAACGGTCGGACGTAAAATTCCCGATAGCACATGGGCTTTATTTAAAAAACAATATCAGTCTCTATATCCAGTGGAAAAAGGCCACAATGCCTTTACCATAATAATTTGTAAATACATGGTCCAAATGTGATCCGAATAAAACAGTCTACGCGAATATATATAACGCGAACGCTTTGCGTCGCTCAAAACCATCGCTTTCTTTTCGTGAAAGTCCGAAAAACACCCGAAGTACGTCTGAAAGGCGTTTTATTCAGCCTTTTTGATATTCTTACGATGTTATTGAGACTTTTCTATTATCGATCATTCCTGTTGAGCTCGCATTAGTTCAAACCCTATGTCTTTTTTTTTTATAAATCTACGACCTACGGCAGCGATCATGATAATTATCATCATCAGCGAAATTTCCAAGTGATCGTTTATCATGGGAAAACAAGTTTATCATCGGTATAAAACGCTCATAGAAAAAATGTACTGGACGTAATACACCTACTCTCTAACGCTACGTAAACGTGAACGCCTTTTCACGCGCACTCTTCCATGCGATGTCGCTTTAATTTTATTGGAAATATACTACGTATCATGTAAACATCGCGGTGAGGATTTCTCTTACAGATTCTAGGATCTACATAAAATAAGGACTGCCGCAATATCAAAGCCTATCCAAGCAACGTAGGAGTTCTAGAGATGATACAAAGAGATGATTAATTTAAAAAAGAATCTTCCAGACATTTGGCTATAATAGCCCGACAACAGCTGAATGTGTCAGGTATTATATGCCAATATTTTACAAATTGTTATAATTTATCCACAAAAAGGAATGTCCGGAAAATGATGTCGTTTAGATTTCTTTAGTTTACATTACAATTATTTCAATATATACTTCCATAATAATATATCTATTAATTAATATAATTAATATCGATACCATATTAAATCATTAATATCATATTATTGACTGTCACTTAGACAGTCATTAATAATGATTATTCTTTATTTTTTTAATAAGATGGTACTTGATGTACCATTTCTTCCGTTACATTCTGCTACGTGAAGATATGAGATTGATATTGCAGCAATGTTTAAACTTATCATACAATAATTGGTATATATGTATATGGGTTTACCGCGTTATTGCTCATAATGCTCTCTCGCAGTAAAATACACATGAAAAGAGGATCACGCTGACACGGATGTAACAATTTTCTACGCTCGCATGCGCGCAATGCACTCACATTTTGTTTTCACTTTAATCACTAATATCTATCGTATCGTAATGGCTCATCGCGTTTATCATCGTGACACAGTAAAATGTATACATTCAAAATCGATTGCACCCACAATCTTGTCAGTCGACTCTGGTAAATTTTTTATTTCTTTATGAATCAGTGTCTACTATGCTATAGAAAGAAGTAAGAAAGGAAAAATTGATTAATACGTGTTTATGACGAGATTAATCTTTTAAGGAGGTTCTCGCGTTACTTCCTAGTCAATAAAATTTATGAATACATAATAATACGTAAAACAATTAAAATAATAGAATAAAGAGATTACTAACAATATCTTATGCCATTATACATAATTATTGTTAATTTTCTATATTACTAAATATTTTTGCAATGACAAAATAAAAGTTGTAAGATGCTCATTTGATGTATATGCATCATTTATTTTATATATATTCTAACTTTTTTCATTGAAGAATATACATTTCTTGTAAACTGTACGGTCAGTTTAAATGAAATTTTACGGGAACAAACTTAAGCGTTTACTTTGTAATTATAATGATTTTTAATGTGCTGTCTTATACGCAAGTGTCTTAATTTAAAAGAGAATAATTATAGAATAAGATTATACCTTCTTTGTAATGTAAAATTCTATAAATTTAAAAGAATTAAATATCTTCAAAATGGTACGGTAAGAACCAATGAAATTTTTTCTAGATATTATTGATATTATTAACATTTGTATTACATGTACATTATAGACTTGTCTTATATTTCATCAAACGCGAGATCTCTTCTTAAATGTCATGATATTTTCTCTTTGTATCATCTTTGATCATCTTACTTTAATTACCAATTAAATATTTCAAATCGTTATTTCAATTATAACGTAGATAAAAGAAAAAATTAATCGTCACATAACCAACTGTGACGCAATCGTTACAGTTGTATGACTCAACTGATTGCATCAAAAATCAGTTGAGTAATTCCAATTAACTATTCGCCATCCTTTTCAGATTATCTGTTCAGTCTACCCACAATGTAGCTCGAGAAGCAAAGATGGCAATTAAGATTTTTATACTAATGGTAAGGTTTCATTTATTCATCCAATGAGCACTTTATTGAGAAAGTGGCGCATAGTTTGATGCATTTAGTAGTAAAACACTTATCTTTTGTTACACTGTTAATTAAGATTCTGTTTCATATACTTCTGTATTTCTTATTTTTATCTTTTGTGAAAGGTTAAATGTTGATTAAAATTAAAGAGTATTTAATTAAAATTTGATTAAAATTAAAAAGATATGACGGTAACCAGAGCTGGGGCTTTAACCGAAGTTGGTGCAATCGACTTAATCTTCGAGTCTCGCATGCATAACGTGCCTCGCGGGGACGACGTTGAATCCTGGAGAATCGGTGATGATTCACGAGAATATTTTTTTCGAGCACCGCGAAGAGAGCAAAGTCGCCAATCCGCCAACGAGACTGTCACGCTTATCGTCTAAGTAATTCCTACTCTAATCCGTCGTTTGTATTTCCCTTCTTTAAGTAGAAAAATTTACAATTTTTCAGACACTTTGTACGAGTAACATCGATGACTTAAGTTTATCCGAAAATGCATTTCCGATTTATCCCGACGTGAAACCCACCGTGTCGATTTACATCACGGGATTCGAAATATTTTTCTTTTCTCTCTGTTTTTTTTTTTTTTTTACTTTGAAACGCATTCACGCATTCGCATTTATCCGGATATTAGTAACTTTCTCACCTTCCTCATCTATCCTAATTTTTATACCCTTGTTTTTTTCTCTCTTCAACAAGACCAATGGTACTTCGCGAAAGAGCGTCAATTCAACATACAGCGACTGCCGAAATAAAAAATAACAAATTTGTGCGAGGTATTCACTGCGTTTTCGCAGGATATTTAAAATCGGATATATTATCCAATCGGATATATAAACAACTTACACGCGTGAAAACACAGGTATTAAATGCATCGGTGCTACATTAAAAAAGAACTATAAAAAAAAGATCAATAGAAAGCGGATACAATCGTAAATACAATCGGATCTGTTTTTGGCAGACACGTTTGGCTGTGTGCACACTCGAGAGTTCCTGTCATTCAGATTGTTCTCAGTAAATATGTTAACAAGTTATTACCGAAAGTCGCTCTCATGAGATAAAACTCTCGACTGAGCATCGAGACTTTCTTTGAAGTCCAAGTAGATGCATCTCATTGTCCATTTGCGTGCGTTTTACAACCGAAATGAAATTATTGCGTAGCAATAACAGGCAAGCGCACGTAAACTCGTACACGTGACTCTTAACACTTAGGAGGAATAAATCGTCAAACATTAATATCGTCTCGAAAATAATAGCGTTTTCGATGCAATGAGTTTAAACCCAATCTGGGTACATGATCCATCAACCCGAAAGTATCATGATCTCGTCCAATCACAAATTAAAATAGAGCATGTGATGTCATTAAATTCGATTTAACGTCCGACTTGGGTTGGGTTCAAACCTACTGCACTCGAAAACGTTATAAACTTCACGCAGCTTGTGCGCAGTAACCGTTCCATATGAGAATTCTTTTCTCGACCTCCTTTCTCAGCGGACAAATATATGCGAGAAATTCATGTATGTAAACATCCTTCTCATCTTATTTCATATACGTTCAGCTCTTGAAAAATCACGCGTTCATGATAGCGTTTCGCCATAAACGGTACGTACGAAAATGCTCTGCCTCGAGGACTATGTATCCAAAAACTGGACTTTAGGAAAATTCGGATGTAATCGTGATCCGAAGTCAATAAAATATAAATACAACATGCTCTTGTGTGACAAGTCACAAATTCACAATACGCGCTAACACGCACACGCATACACTCCCTCATTTTCTCTCTTTTTTCATTCTGTATATATATATATATATATATATATATATATATCGTAATCATATGCTAACATACTAATATACGATGTATTATGTTGTATAATCTATAATTCCGAATTTTACTTCCAAACTTAAATCACGTTATTTCCTAATACCGTGACTTGTGTCTAAATTTATCGAAATTGCTAGCGTCTTTATTGTGGTTGCTCCTCGTCGAAAATATGAAAACGCGCTTAAATAGTCGCAAATTTTATGGGCAGGTAAAACGACTCGCCGGTGCTTCTGCGATTCTAATAACGCAGTCATTTCTCGTTTCCGATTCTAAATATTACGGTTAATGCCTGATTGGTCATGAAGGTTTAGAATCTTGTTAATTCGTTCCTGCGAACGGTACTTACAAAAAACACCATGGCACACTCAACTTCCAATCCGTTTGACGTTTTTAGTGCTTAACACTAAGGACATGTAAGGACACGTAAGGGAGAAAGGAGAAAAAAGAGACGAGAGGGGAAATTTTCGGCAGCATTTGACAGTGATAAGTTCGATAAGTTCGCGGCACTGTATGTCAAGAAGATTGGTCGCCAAAGTCTACAGAAAAATTTCGCAGTCCAAAAAATGCCATTCGCGACAATGATGCAAGATCTCGCGAGGATGTGTACGTGTTCTCCTATTAGAAGTATTTTCCTTCCGTGAGAACGATGCATCCAGTCCGCGAAGATTCCGATGAGGGCAGCGTAATGCATGCTAAATAATTTACTTAGCAGTAAATACCATAAAATTCCATGGCACAATTGATGTGGGCTGGGTGAAAGTGACCGTGCGGCGGCAGATGATGATTTTGCATATATTGATGGGCTGTATATCAGTCCGTCGGCGGTTCGAGATACGGTATTTCGCTAGTGACGTTGAACGATTCGAAATAGTGATTCAGGAACTCGAACGTGGGCCGCTTCTCGGGGCTAGCGTCCCAGCACTGTAGCATCAGTCGGTAGATGCTGTCGGGTAGCGGATGGTTCAATGGTTTCGGCATACGATAGCCCTTGTCCACTTGTTCAATCACTTCACGACCGTGCATACCTGGAAAGGAAACATTATGTATGATAAAGTATATACTTAACTCTTTGGTGCCTTACTGTTACTCTCGTTATAGCATTTTTTAAATTTATATGCTGTAACCTTTTTATTAATAAAAATAAATATATTTGTATTCAATATGGCGTCAATTTAATTAAAATGATGACGTTAAACAATTTAATTCAAGAAAATTTGACTCAAATTTAATTTATTATTTACTATTTGCAAACGTTAATATGAATGTCGTTTACTTTAAAACTAATTACAGAAATGGATTGATTTATATTTGACATATATATGGAAGTTGAAAATAATAAAATGTTATTTATCTCAAGGAACCGTGGATTACCATTGCTTCTTTGATACCTAACGGTGTGTAGTTGCATATGTGACAAAAATGTATAGAGATGAACTGAGTATATGAATAACATGTTGCATACGTGACAGAATGAAAAAATTTACCAGGATAAGGAACTTGTCCATAAGTGAAGAGCTCCATCAGCAGGATTCCGTAGGACCAGACGTCGCTCTTAATGCTGAACCTGCCATAGACGATAGCCTCCGGCGCAGTCCACTTGACAGGGAATCTACTGCCCTGCTTCGGACAATATTCGTCGTCTTCGATCACCCTAGCGAGACCAAAGTCGCAGATTTTCGCTTTGTTTTTCTCACCGATCAGTACGTTCCTTGCCGCGAGATCTCTATGTATGAGCTGTTTGCTCTCGAGGTATTCCATACCGGAGGCCACTTGGGCTGCAATGTAAATCAGATCCTCGAATTGCATGTACTTGCCGTCTCCCTTTCGGAGGAAGTCCAACAGGCTGCCGTTACACATGTACTCTTGTACAATATAGATGGGCTCCTCTTTCGAGCAGACCGCATATAACGCGACCAAATGCCTGTGTCGGAATTGCTTCATTATAGCTGCCTCCTGGAGAAACGCCTCGGTCGACATGGTCCCTGGACGCAGCGTCTTTACCGCCACCTCAATTTTGTTTCGCCACTTGCCGTAATAAACCTTGCCGAAATTGCCGTTACCCAGTTCCGAGATCAGCTGTATCTCGTTCCTATTGATTTCCCACTTGTCGCGCAACTCAGGTCCGAGATCCCACATGTCCGGTTGCGGTTTCGGGCAGGGCTTCGAAAGCACGTGACAGAGACCCAACGCGTTTTCTAAATAATAGAAATACCATCAAAGATAGATTTCTCGAACACATTTTATTTGTTTATTTTAGTTTTTAAAAGACCAGAGATTTTTTATTAAATTACACACGAAAATAAAATATATCTATGCATGATATTAACACAAAGATATTGCTTTATATAAATTCATTATTTTATATATTATTATAACTAAATCTAAAACTTACTGCTGTATGCCATAACCAGAGCCGGTAAGCTGGAGAATGTTTGATTGGTGGCGATAAAAAAGCCGCCATTATCGAGCGGCTTAATCTTATAATGTTTCACGTGATGACCTCTTCCTTCTTCCCAATCCTTAACAGATAAGCTGTAACCCCGAGGATTGTGCTCGCTCGGCCTCACCAAAAATGTACCGCGAGGATTCTCGTCAACTAGTAGCAATTTGCCCGCCTCCTTACGCGACACATTTTCAAAGAACCAACTGCGAAGATCGTGATATTAGGTACACAATACCTTATCGAGAAATACAACGAAAGAAATCTAAGGGAAGAATAGAAGATAAATGCTCACTCTTCGCTCTCGACCGACCGCTCGACAGCCACGAAGTTCCAAGGGATCAGGCCTTCCTGCAGAGTCGTTAAGTGCAGCACTCTCCACCAGTCCGGCTCGGAATCGTCGAGGACCTCCATTCGGTCGCCTTTCATGAAACTAACGTCGGTACTTTCTCGCGCCGTGTAATTGTACAATGCCACCACGATCTTGTTGGATCTTTGTGAGTGCGCTGCATCGGGAAAGAAACAGTAGTCTCGTTAAATTGTTCTTTGAGCGGGAGAGAAATCGAGAACCCGAACCGGTTAGAAGCGATTTAACTTTAAAAGACTTGGTACGAATCAAGTTGACTAAAGGGCTCCTAATTATTTTACACAAAAGGCGATAATAATCGGAGGAAAATAATATCTCATTCACATTTCCACTGAATTTATATTTCAGCCATTTTATACTTAAAAAATCAAAACTAGAATAACTTTGAAGTCAAACAACTTCATGTACACTATAAATTAGATGATCTTTTTTTATTCTCAAGAATCGCAGAGATTTCTTTTTATATTAAGAAATGATCTAATTAAAATTAAACCGGTTCGGGATAACGACAGAAACATTTAGAACAGGTCGAAACAATGACTACTAAACGCTAAGCGGTTTCATAATAAAATAAGATTGGGCTACTTGCAAAACAAGATTCTATCTTGGTCCAGACTTGGTCGTTCTACGGAAGCAAAAAAATAGTAACTTAAAATACACACATGCAGACTTAACAGGCGGATTCGTTTTACGGGGTTGCTGATGCGGTATCTGTAGCTTACAGGGTGTCGGCCTCGGTCGGATAATATCCGCCCGAGCTTGCACGCCTCTCTGATTTGGGTCGGCGGTGTATCGGTCCAAGGAACCTCCATTGCTGTGCTTTGAGCTGAGTCCCGTGTCTGCTTTCTTATAGCCTGAATAGAGAGAAAAATCCGTCTCTCATCAAGGAAGATCAATCCGATGAGAAATATATATCTTTTATCTATGTACTAAATACTACAAATTTTAAATAATAAACTCGACTTTTATTATTCCCCGCCGAAATTGTCATTTTCGTTGGAAGAAATTTATCCGTTGAGAGAAACATCATCGACATGACTTTTCATTTAATTAGCAGTTACCATTTTACAGCACAACTATATACTTGTGTGTGTATTATTAGAGTCAACACGTAATTAAACCTATATAAAAAGCGAGACGGATTTTTTAGTTCCTCGAAAAATTAAAAATCGGATCTATTCAATTCAATAATTACAGAGATGACAGAAGGGGAAACTTTAATTCTTTTCTTCTACTGTGGTGACTTTGACGCAATCATACATATATTATTATCAATTATTACAGTGATAAAGCGATAATTACTTCTACAGTGCATGTTATCGATCTTAATTTGACTCACCGATCGGTTGAGACTCTTGCCGCTTGCTGCAACACTTCCCCATGCTGGATCTCTCGTTCCTGGTCTACCTCTGCGCGAGTCCTACGCACCCTCTATCCTGGATACACTCGCGGGACAAGCCTCCATCGTCTTGTTGAAAACTCAGTCTGGATATCCAGCGATCGAGTCGGCGACAAGGTTTGTATATCGTACAAACTCTCAAAGTCCTCTCGTCCGTCCACCCATCGCCGGATTATCGGACTCGCCACTCCTGCAACATAAGGCAGACGAGATCTGTCATGATTCCGACCGAGGATTATTATCGCGACAATAGTCGCAGGATGCAGCGTCACGACGAAGGCCTACGAATTGCAGTCATTTGACAACGGGAAGTTGCTATGCTTCGATGAAGTCGGTGACACGATTGCGAAGTCATCGCGAGGGCAATGATTAACTACAAGTCAGCGACATCATCGCGATTATTATCATTTTTATCACTTCTTATTATCATCACTTTCCAATCATTCACCTGATAATCGAGCCAATATCATCACGATTCTCTAAATAAAATAAGTCTCCTAAAAAACTTTTAGAATATTAGGATCTATATAGTTTCTTCTTTCAATATTTGAAAAATTTTCAAAATTGACAATTTTTTTGTATATATTAAATACAAAACATTTAGAGCATAACGATGCAGTACATACAACTAAACTATGTATTATATTGAGATAAGGCAACTTCAGCTAAAATTGTATAGAGCGATGAGATAACAAAAGGGACATAAAAATACAAATCCAGCTCGTGACCAATTTTACTTAAAGCGACATATCCATCGGTGCTTCTACCAAGAGAAAATATCCATACAAAAGAAGAAACCAATAACTACAACCACCGGTGCCAAGCCGGCTACCAGCACAGCCGAAGTGCCCTTCCGATTATCTCCATACCATTAAATAGAACGAACCACCTCGTCCTCACCAACCAGCATACTCGGAGTTTTTAATTAAACAGTTGGACAGGGGAAAGGGATAAGGGCCACAGGATTTTCGAGTAGGAAGATATAGGGTGTTTGTTGATGGACGTGTGAATATTACGTTTAACGATCTGAAATCGGAAAGTATGAAAAGCTTTCTCTTTAAAAAAACGAATCGAAATAATGTAAATAGTTTTCAATTTTCAAGTGGAATTTAAAAATACCAGTATCATAAATATACCTTTTACTTAAAAGAACGGACTCGTTAAAATTATATTGATTTTGACTCTATTCTTTGAGACGCTAATTAAAAAATAGTATTCCGATAAATTGCGCTTTTTAACTGTAAATAGATAATAAACTTATGCTTTTTTTTTTTAATTTTACAGAAACTTTAGGACATCTTTGAAATTCGAAATAAACAATACTTAGCGTTAAGGTTTTATAATAGAATATATATATATATATATAATAGAAAAAAATGTAGGGTACAATTAAATTTCAGCGAAGAAATGGAATTCATGGAAGAAATCGTTTCAGTTAACAGTTCAATAGGCATGAGGATCGTTCCGATTAACGAACGCGCCTTTTACCGAACCACCCCGTGTGGACAGGTTTGAGAAACAATCGTCCGGAATCGATTTGGATGTGGGTCGGTCCAACCCCAGTGCCGAACGCCGCGAAAGCATGGCATACGACTACCATGGCATACGGCTACCAGAGTCTCTCGTTCGATCGGCACAACCCGACTACGGCTATAGGACAACTCGAGTACACCATCCCTAGTCCCCCTATCCATGTTCACGTGTATGTGTCTATGCAACGGGGTAATACATGAGTAGCGAAACGGTCGATATCCTACAACGTGTATTCGTATATACTACGACGTCACACTCGCCATCCGGTAGAGCTTTTATGTAGCGAACAATGCGCTATCGTGGACAAAGACGTATTAACGTTAGCATCAGGACGAAACATCCTGATCGTGGTCGTCGTTGGCTCCGTTCTCCGTAGAAAACTGTTAGATTGCGTGATAGATCGGAGAATGAGACCAACTTGAATTTGGAAAAAGCTACGAAAAACTTGACTCAAGTTCACCAACTTCAGCGCTAAGTTTGATCGAGCGAATTTTTCACTTGTAATCGAAAAAAGAATAACGGCTTTTGAAATAAGTCTATTTGATAGAGAGTTCTGATACAATTGAACTTTAGAATACGAGCTTTAGACAGATTTAATTTAAGATATAAAGTGCAATCCACTTAGCGCTGCAAATGCTTTGAAGCATTCTTTGATTGGTCAATTTATAAAATTGTTTCTTCTCGTTAATCAACGAAGTATTTGCAGTATTAAATAACCCGTGCTTTTAACTATTATTGATATACTATAAAGTCTAGACTTCTTTTTATTAACAATATAACGTCTACATTTTTTATTTGTACGATTATAAATTATAAATTAATTGAAGAACCAGAAAACAGAGCCATAGAATATGAATTTCGAAGATCATCATACATATTCAACTTTCATGTATAATAACAAAAATAACAAAAAAGTTATATCTGTGCAGAATTATGAAGAATGTAAGCTTATGATTTGAAATCTATATCCTCTAGAACTTTGATGAAAAATATTAAGCATCTATATTTTGCGTCTATCTGAAATTCTTTTATCTGCATTGTTACTTATTTTTTATTATCAGCATTATACATATATAAGTTTAAAGGATTCTTGAAACAAAAGATAATTTATTTACAAATATCATAAATTTTTAAGTTAAAACTTTAAATAATGGTTAATAAGATATTCTTATTAAATCTATTCGATAACTTAGCCTATTCGCATAGCAGAAAAATAATCTTTTTTTATCTAAATAAATTGCACAGTAAAAGAGTCTGTTCTGTCTCTGCATACGAGATACTAGGCGACAGGGTTGAATTATATATACCTTTCCGTTGAAATCTTAGGAAAATCGCTGCCCATTGTTATCACTTTTATTTTCATTTACGATTTCATGATACAACGAAGTGACTCCATCCGGTCCCACGTGATAAAGTATAAACGACGAACGTTTTAAGAATGCGACGGTGAAAATTTACCGTCCAATGACGCTGTATATGTGGATACTAACCGTAAGGATAGATCGTAAAAGCAAGAGCGTTAGTTATTCTCGCCTGATACAAAGTATCCCTCTTTCTCTCTCTCTTTCTCTCCTCTCTTTCTCTTCAGGTAATAACTTTGTTGTTTTCCTATACAACGCACGCCGACAACTTCCCATGTCGCCGATATAAAGCCACAAGGCTTAATCGAACATCTTAATAACATTTAAAGCCGACAGCGGAACAGCCTAAGCTGTTTGTCGAAGCATTATAAAGTACCTCAAAATCACTGAATACTAATTTAGAGCTGATTTTCCTATAAAGTAGCGTGAATAAATCATAAACAGATTTTTTTTTTAAGTTCTTTAACAATAAATTATAAATAATTTAAATAAAAACCATGAAAGAGAGTACTTATCTATTTTTATTACAAAAAGAAACTAACTAAAACCTTTATACTAGGAAAAGTAATTATCCAATAAGCCAATTAAAATGTATAATTCATTATTACCATAATTACACTTAGCGGCCCATAATGTGATAATATATTTAATTATTTCTATTTAATTTAATTTTTCTAAACTAATTTTTATAACGGTAATAGCTTTCTCTCTTGGTTACAGCCGTTCAAAGAATACTTTTGCCTTTCAGCCATTAAAGTAAAAAAAATGCGTGCACGCTCCCCCGTTGCTAATTTTATTTTCGTACTAATCGATAACGTTTACGCGTCCAAGGTAGACAAAGGAGCAACCACAAAGATTGTGAAGTACAAGGGTAGATCATCGCGCGCGTTGAAATCAAAGATAAAAGACCCGGTATGAATCTCCAGTTATCTCACTGACGTTATATTCTGAGTGAAAACATAAATGCGTCATCTCTTACAGCACTGACTAAGTCTGTGCTAACTAATCGCTTAGATTGATGAGACGCCTAATGGAAGTTAACGAACTAACACGTATAAAGATGAAGATCCTCTATAAATATTTCATCCGTTAATAATTATTAATAATCGTAGTAATTATAACGGTTCTTCACATAAATCATTATTTTATATTATAGAAATTATTGCATATACAAACATATCATGTCTTTGGACATTTCTTCTTGCTAGTAAAAACAAACGCATAGAGATCATCGCATTGACTGAAGCTGGAATCTGGCAACAGATCGCGTGCTGGAGTTCAGAGATCGAATTATAGGATTCAAAATTTCCGTGTGACACATGACAAGAATCGCAATCTGCTATCTTATGAAAGGTGCGGATTTTGCGATTCGATTTCCAATGCCAATCCGGTAACTGTAATCCGCTGTTTGAGAATTTAAGATTTAGTCTGAGAATCACCGCCGTATATTTGAATGTTAAAAAACAATTCAGATTCAAATTCTTTGTTTATTTCATTGTATTAAATATTTATACATTCATAAAAATTTATTACAAATTTACGAAAAAAGACAATGTGAATAATAAATTTAACATATTTTTTATACATGTACGTATCTTATATTCTCAAAAAATATTTTATTATCCAATATATTATTTTACGCTAAAAATCTAATTACATTTTTATAGTCATGTAATAAAGAGATTCAGAAAGTTTAATATTATTATGTTTTTTATTATTTATAAAATAACTCGCAGAGATGTATCTTATAATACAATTAGTGTTTCCTCCAATTATTACTTTTTTAAATCAGAAAGTGCCACAAAAAGAAGGCTGGATAAGTTGAACTTCGTCGAGCGGTGTATAATTAACGGATTTCCATCAAAAATCTTTCGTTAGCTATAGGAACGGAAAAACTGCTTACGGAGAACTCATCTCTCTTTCGCTTCAGTCAATGTTCTTCAATCACGAAACAAAACGGAAATGCGTTATTGTCTACCTTTTCTCGCTGCAAGGTAATACAGACAAGAGTCTCGTCGCACGACAATGCACGTTGTATTTCAGTGTGGAACCGAGAAGACATCCCTGCCTTCACGTTTCAATCCTTCGCGCTATCAGTTCTCCTTCTTGAGAAGCCCGGAATTTTGCCAAGCGTGTAAATCATAAAACATTCATCAAGCTGGCGTGCCGTGACGCCGACGAGGATAAGGTTTTGTTGTGCGGCAAAACGCACACCGTTAGATCCTGTTTTCGCACCAATCCTCCGAACTGAGACAGAGAGAGAGAGAGAGAGAGAGAGAGAGAGAGAGAGAGAGAG